CATACGAACATCTTACCGAACCTTCACAGGGGAAACTCCCTTCAGCCTTGCATTCGGCTCAGAAGCCGTTGTCCCAGTTGAGATCGGTGAGCCTTCTTACCGAACGGAAAGCTTCGAGCCAAAGGCTAACGAGGCGGCACTCGTATTGAGCCTGGATTTAATCGAGGAACGCCGAACGGTAGCCAACCTTCGGAACGAAGCTTACAAACAGCGCGTCTCTCGATACTACGACTCAAGGGTCAAACCACGCTCCTTCAGAATCGGGGACTGGGTCATGCGCAAGGTGTCGCTTGCCTCGTGCGCCCGGATCTGCCGTTCGGCAGCATGCATATCCTCCACGAGATGAGCGTGGTCCTGGAAAGCCTTCGCAGCCTCGGCAACCTTGGAGCGGCCGTCCTCATAAAGCCGTTTCGCGCGTTCGGCAGCGTTGATAGCCCTCTTCATACACAGCCACATGTCCATCGACGCATGAAAAATGAAGTCGCAAGTTAGTACCGAACGAAAGATAACAAAAACAAAAACACAATGGGAGTTAGAAGGTTACCGTGGCCTGGAGGTGGAAGGCGCGCCCCGCCTCTTCCCGAAGAGCCCTCTTCGGCAGCTCGTCGATTTCAGACAGGTCCATCTGCGAACCCACGATCATGTGGTTCATAAATTGAACTGTCTTGGATGGACAGGCAAGTGTTACCGCTTCGGTAGGGCCCTTCTCATCCTCAACCGCGAAGATGGCCCTCTGGGAATCGGCAAGTCGCACCCGCTTGGGGGTCGAAGCGGCATCCAGGTCCAACGTCAACGTCCGTTTCCCGGACGCCTTAGACAAGTTGGCATCGGCCCCCTGGCTCGGAGTGGGTGCAGGCTCGTTGACAGGCGCCCTTTTGCTCGCGGGCTTCAGCAAGGGGCTGCTCCTCAGGGATTGCCTCCGAGACCCTCTCTGCCAAAGCCTCGGGATGCCGTTTTTGCTTCTTCCCCTTTGCAATCACCCCGAGGCGCCGCTTCGAGGTCTCCGACATCTTCTTGGCCTCGGCAGTCTTCCTGGCCTCTGACACTGCAGGAACGGTGGAGTTAGCCGAAGAAGTAAAAAAAAAAAAAACAGTGAAGTGCAGGAACGGTGGAGTTAGCAGAAGAAGTAAAAAAAAAAAAATTTAAAAAAAAAAAAAAACCAAACAAAAGGGTGAAGTGAACTTACTCTCGGCAAGGTTCGCAAGACCGGCTCTGATGAGGTTCTCGGTGAAGAGGAACTGTGGGTATTCCCTGTCACCAGCAGGAACTCTTAGCCTCACCGTATCAATCTGCCGAAGCTCTGATTGGGTTGCCGTTGGTTGCTTCAGTTTGCCTACAAAAATAAAGAAAGAGGTTAATCCATTGAACAAAAAAAACTGATCTACCGATCGGTATGGTAGCAACCTACCGGCAATCTGAAAAGTATTTGGGATGTGGAAGCGAACGGGAACTCCTGAGGGCGATTCCCAATCGCCAGAGAGGAGAACCCGCCGATTCATCCAGGACTTCTGGGAGGTTGGCACTGCCGTAAGAAAATGGCCCCTTTCGGAAGCCCTGAGACAGTTCGCCTGGACCTAGCCACCATTGGTGCTCTTCGATTTGGTGATGCTGCACAGATAGGAGAACTGTTCATAGGAAGGCCCCTCCTCATCGGCAAGCCCGAATGCCGTAACTACCCCCATCAGAACGGCCCAGAAGTTCGGATTGAACTGCCCAGGGGCATATCCAATCTGGGCCAAGATTCGCTGAACTGGAGGCTGCAACGGTAGCCTAACGCCCTGCTGAAGGACGTCGGTAAAGAACGCAACCTCACCGTCCTGGGGGTTGCTCAGGGATTCAGTAGGGCCTGGGATCCTCATCCCTACCGATTGGGGAATCTTGAACTCCTCCCTGATCCTCGCCAGCTCTCGGTAGGTCAGCTTGTTGGGCGGCAGGTAGTCTACATCAAAGAGCTGCTCTCTCGCTACCCCCATCGGTACCCTTTGGTTACCGCTGCTTACTATCGTCACCCTCGGCATAGGAAGTGACTCGGAAGGCTCTCCACGGCCTGAAGTGGAAGCCTCCGGACGGTGACTAGAAGATGCCTCCGGCATCCGAACGTTCTCTTCAGGCTCGGAATGCAGGCCCAAGCCAACCTGCCGACCGTCATTGTACACGACCGTCAACGGTAAGGGCTGACTAGTCATAAGCCCTTTATCGATTCCATGAGTGGGCACAGATCTAACCCTCTCGCCAACCACTTCCACCTCAGAACCACTATCGCTATCGGTATCCTGGGCTGACTCTTGACTATCGGTAGTCTTTCCCCTATCTGAAGACTCCTCCTCAAAAGCGTTGGGCTCACTCTCGAATCCCGACTCGCTATCAGACATCTACAAAACCAACGGAAGGAAACTAAGGGCCATGCATGGAACTATCCTACCGATGCCTACGTCTCTACCAATGGCAACTAGACTACCGAACCACATCCCACTTGCATAAAGTTCTAGTCTAGTTCAAACCATGGAAGGACGTATGCACAATGAAAGAAGAAATAAAAATGGCAAAGTTACCGAACGGTACCATGTGTGTATTGGAAGTGAAAGGGCTCAAATCGCTTCTAGTACCGTTTGCTGTCACCGGAAATCGCCTGTGTGGTCGTTGCTGTCACCGGAAATCGCCTATGTTGTTGATGTGGCCTTGGAGTGGGAAGGGAAAGATCACTACGTGAGATTGCTTCCCTGCCATTGCCAATTTGCCAGCAGCTATATATATGTGTGTTATAACTTATATAGCTTCTTTCTTGCTTTCTTCCTCTCAGGTTTTCTTAAGTCTAAGTCAATTATATACCGCCAAGGTACCGGAGGGGGTTGCATATAGTCGCTGAAGAGGGCATATAAAATTCCATGCGTGGGAAGCTATAAACATAATTAAACCAAGTCAAGTCGTATAATGGGTGCGGCCGCCGTAACCACGTATACTACTAATTACGACATAATATATAAACTAAAACCTTATTTGTTGAAATGCCCCAAAGGTTTGTGTTTTATCTCAGTTTACCCTCTCAACTTTTAATTGACTAAATGTCTCCTTTGTGCTTTATTTTTGTGTCTCATGTTACCTCATTCCACCTTTGTTTATGCCCAAAATGAACAAGCAATGAGAGCAAGACACGTGGAGGAAATTGGGCTTGATCAGAGGTGCCATCGGCACCCCACCTACCGATCCTTCTATTAGGGCAAAGCCCTCTCTTGGGACACGTGGCACGCTCCCAAGCGACGTCCACAGTCCCACATCGAAACTATCAACAAATGCACACCTCCCAAGGCCTATAAAAGGAGGCCAACTATCCCAAAATAGAGGTAATCAGAACTTACGGCATACAAGCCTATTGATCTGTCAATTGAACTTTCTATTCCCGAACTTACTTAAGCATCGGAGAGCCTTCGGCCGGTACCACACCGGTGCCCTAGGTCTTACCGTGCGTTTGCTCATATTGCAGATCACGTACACTACCGAGGCCACGAGCATACCGAAGACATAAAATTACTAAGTTGACCCTCAAAGTCAGAGAACCACTTTTTGGCGTCAACAACCTTCCCCCTTCCCCCTTCCATAACTATATCCTGTTACATGAGGTTGGATTTGCATGAAATTTTTGGTACCTTGGTTTTGACAGAGGAAGGGGGAGGGGGAGGTAGTTGTCAGGAGCTGTTGGGTTATTAATTTTTGAAAAGTTACTTTATTATTTGTTTTTATATAATTTTAAGACATTTTAAATAATTTAGTCTTTTTTAAATGTGTTTAATCATGTTTTTATATTTAATTTATTTTTTGGAATTTTTATGTGTTAAAATTACCACAATTTCCATGCTACATCAGCAACTTAATAGTTTTTTTTACCACACTATAACAGAATTGGGTAACGTGAGACACAAAAATAAAGCACGGGGGTACACTTAGTCAATTAAAAGTTCAGAGGGTAAACTGAGACAAAAAGCAAATCACATAGGGCATTTCAACAAATAAGCCTAAACTAAAATAAAATAGATGAACTCTATCTTAGTTGACCCAAAAAAAAAAGTAATCTACAGAACAGTGGAAAAGGAGACTTTTGTATTACATGATTGAGGTGCTGGTATTCATTTATACCAGGAATGCGGGTGGTCCTCGGGGAGGCCATCGGAGATGGACTCGAAATGGAGGGTGGGGAAAGAGCCAAGAGGGCTTGGGGGTTGGCCAAGCCCTTGTGTTTTTGGGTGTTGACAAAGGTGACATGAAGGCAAGGGTGGAACTAGAAATTTTTCAATGGGTGGTTTAGCTAAAGTTTTTAGCTTAAAATCTAATGATAATTTTTTTTTCGGTACTTACATTTTATATAGTTTTTCTAGAAATAAAAGTATACATTAAATCATATAAATAATGCTAATTGTAAACACAAGAAAAAAAAAATAGAGCCATATTATTCACGAAAGCGTGAATTTCATTTAGAAAAATGCTTCACTTTTGGAGACAAATTAATAGAAATTTTTTTTAATTGTTGTTGATACAAACTTTAACACCAAATACAAATGTGGAAGACCTCTTACTATGCATATTGGTGTTGAAATTATATATATATTTTATTTATTTATAGTTAAAATATTAGACTATATGTATATTTAATTTGTTTTTCCCAAACTGTCCCTGGGCTGCAGCCAAGGGCAGCCCTTGCCTTGGTTCCGCCAATGCATGAAGGCCTGCATGGAAGAGCAGCTCCGCTAAGCATAGCAAGGGCTTGATATGGCCTTGGAGTGGGAAGGGTTAGATCACTACGTGAGATTGCTTCACTGCCATTGCCATCTATAGGAGCTTGTTGATTTCTTTCTCTTACGGGTTTATTAATTCAAGTTATACAAACCTAGATACACAAGGGGGTTATATATAGAAAAGGTGGAGGACATATAAAATCGCATGGCGTACGTAACATAAACTAAGATATGTTGACTCGAGCTTATACTTGCACAATTATATACCTCAAATTCAAATTAATTAAACGAAGAAAGATTGTGACAACCACTGATCCATATTATAACATGTGGCTGTATTTTATTATCATACAATAATTTCTCTTAATTAACACATAATAAAAACTAAAATACGATAAGTTTTCTCCAGGTTGTTGTACGACGAGCCACCTTCACAAACACCATTCTGAGCCAATTGGGAATGTGTGCTCACTTGCTTGATCTTCCCTCAAACCCCTTGTATCCACGGTTGACTTATCAGACTTATCCTTCATATCAAACCCAATCTTCCAAACCTCATGACCATAAATAACACAACAATTTTTATTCCCATGAAAATTAAATATAATATCACCAGCCAGCTAGCTTGCTCAATCCTATGGCCTCTAGTTGTGATCTCGCAAATTTCGAATGTATTCGATCAGCTGCTCCAAGTTGTTGTGGGAAGATCCACCTTTGGCAACACTGTCACGGGCCAATTTTGAAACGGCGTCCATGGAGCTCTGAATCTCCTCCCTTTTGGGTCCCATCAAAGTTCTGATCATGCTCTCAATGTTGGACCGGTCACAATTTTCATTCAATTGGAGACCAATCTTCCACTTCTGGCAAACGGTTCTGCAAACAATATGATGGTCCCCCAAATTGGGCCAACAGATCATGGGCAACCCACTCACAATGCTTTCAAGCGTCGAGTTCCACCCACTGTGAGTCAAAAACCCACCTACCGATTTGTGAGTCAGCACCTCCTCCTGCGAAACCCAATTCACTATGTAGCCTCTTTCTTTCGTACCACTTTCCAGCTCTGCAGGAATTTGGGGGCCCCCAGAGGTGGTGTCGGACCGCATGACCCACAAGAACGGGTGTCCACTGTTGACCAGGCCGTACCAAAACTCTATCACCTGGTCACGTGTCAAGTGGACCAAAGTCCCGAAGCTGACGTAGATAACCGATCTGGACGACTGGGAGTCGAGCCACGTCATGCAGTTTAGGTCGCTTTTCCAAAGAGAGCCGTGAGATGCTAGACCTCGGGACACATCACCTATTTGGGAGTTGAGGAGAGAGTGGAGTGGTCCGAGGGTGTAAATCTTGGGAAATATGAGGGCCATGTGGGAGAGGAATGGAGCATCGAGCTCATAAACTGTGTCGAGAATGAGAGCCGAGGCTCGTTTTAGGATTTGGGTCTCGTTCATAAAGAATTGAAGAGCTGGGTGGTCCGCTTCTTTGACTAGGCAAAAACCTGGCAAGTCTTGACGATACAAAAGGCCTTCCATTCCGGGGACTCCCGTAATTTCCACAGTCATGTCATCATCTGTTCATAACTCACAAATCACATTATTAAATTTCTTTCTTTAAAGCGAGTTAATTAATTATGACAGCTATGTAAGTTAGCTAGACAAACAAAAATTGAATAAAATAAATGTTTAATTCCATGCCGTTCACTACTTTCTGAGCTCATATGAGTGTTACATGACTTATGAGTGTGGGAGGAAGTCAAGAACATGATTCTAATTCGAAGCTTCCAAAATATTTTTTTGTATCATTCCACCCCCAACATGATTCTAATTTTTATCTCTTAACAAACGAAAAATTGAAGTGATGGAGTATATATATAGAAATGAATAAAATAATAAGAGGTGAAGTAGAGGCTCTTACCTTGAAAAGGAAGCTGGCCATCCTCAATGAGCTTGGGGAGACAAAGACAAGTCCACAGGTAACGAGGACAAGGAACGTTATAACTTAGAATGGGAAGCCCCAGCTCCTCCGCCACGTCAAACGCAAAAGTCACGAGCCCATCTGTCATGATACAGCTCGGAGGCGGCACCAGAGCATCATTCGATTCGGCCTTAAGCGAAATGGTTTTGAGCAGCTCCCGGAAATGAGGCCTAATAGACTTCTTAAATGTGATGAAAAACTCAAGGTTCATGGTACGGGGGTGGTCGTCGGGGAAGCCATCGGAGATGGACTCAAAATGGAGGGTGGGGAAATGAGTCGAGAGCGCTTGGAGGTTGGCCAAGCGCTCGTGGGTTTGGTGAGTGTTGACATAGGTGACATGAAGGCCTGCATGGCAGAGAAGCTCGGCTAAGCATAGCAAGGGCTTCATGTGACCTTGGAGTGGGAAGGGAAAGATGACTACGTGAGGTTGCTTCATTGCCATTGGGTTAATATTTTAGCTAGGTTTTCTTACTCTTAGGGTTTTCTTAATTGTAAGTTATATCAACCTAGTACAGAAGGGGTGGTATATATAGAATCTGGAGATGGCATATAAAAAGTTAACCCAAAGTGTATGGTTACATAAATCAAAATAAAAAGTTAACCTTGATTATACTTATGGATATGTGTTAAGTGTTAAGAAGGGTGGTGAACATACACCTTGAGTTTAAGTGGTGAGCAAAAATATTTCATTCTACCTACCCTTGTGGTTAAGTGCACTTGCACTACCTCCTAGAGGTCTTAGGGTTCGAAGGTTGGTACCACATTCTCTACAAAACCCAAAAAGTAAATCACTACAGAAGATATGGCATTTGCTAATGCGTCATATGAGGTGAGGGATAATTAACGTCTGGTATTCACTAGTTGTGCCAAATTTCACTTAACCCATGGTTCGATTTGGTTTTGAAGGTTGGAAGGTTGGTACCGCATTCTCTACAAAACCCAAAAAATAAATCACTATAGAAGATATGGCATTTGCTAATGCGTCATATGAGGTGAGGGATAATTAACGTCTGGTATTCACTAGTTGTGCCGAATTTCACCTAACCCATGGTTCGATTTGGTTTTGAAGGTTGGAAGGTTGGTACCACATTCTCTACAAAACCAAAAAAATAAATCACTATAGAAGATATGGCATTTGCTAATGCGTCATATGAGGTGAGGGATAATTAACGTCTGGTATTCACTAGTTGTGCCGAATTTCACCTAACCCATGGTCCGATTTGGTTTTGAAGGTTGGAAGGTTGGTACCACATTCTCTACAAAACCCAAAAAATAAATCACTATAGAAGATATGGCATTTGCTAATGTGTCATATGAGGTGAGGGATAATTAACTTCTGGTATTCACTAGTTGTGCCGAATTTCATCTAACCCATGGTCCGATTTGGTTTTGAAGGTTGGAAGGTTGGTACCACATTCTTTACAAAACCCAAAAAATAAATCACTATAGAAGATATGGCATTTACTAATGAATAATTAATGTCTGGTATTCACTACTTGTGCCAAATTTCACCTAACCCATGGTCCAATTTCCTACGTTTTCTACCTTTAGGCTTTCCTATTTCCCGCTATTTCCCAATTATTCTCTTCAAATCAGTTTTCTTTATTTTTGGAGGAATACCTTTGGCCTATAAATACTAAATTTTAACCTAACACTACAAAAAAAAGCCCAATACCTCTCACATTTTGTAACTAACTAACTAATTGGTATCGGTGACAATTGAATGGTTGGTCAATGCTTTTGTTTACTTATCTCTCACATTTTAATATTATTTGTGACTAATCTCTCACATTTTAATATTTTGGTGACAGTTGATTTAAATATAATAAATATAAAACTAATTATTGTGATTAACACCGAAACAGTAATTTTTCATGACTAATATTTGATTATAGCCTTGCTAATAATAGTAATCCAAAAAAATATTAGGTGGATTACCCACCTCTCGTCTCCTACTCCTCAAACAAATCGAAACTTACCCCTTTTCTTTTGTAAGCTCTTCTCTCCCAAAACAACCCAGCAACCCCCTTTCTCGTCTGATTTTCTTTTTAGATATGGTGGTTTTCACCCCGATCCCTTCATTTTTTGGCTATCTCCTTGCTTTTGAAAAGTTTGTTATCTCCCTAGTTTCTAGGGCGTTTCTTTGGCTTTGGGCAGTCCTTTTAGGCCATCTCCAACTATGTTGGGACTAAACTCAAATTTCCACCCTCTAAAATCCAACTATTCATGTATTTTCAAGACTCAAATTTTTTTTTCCTCAAACCTTGCAAACTCTTAATTTGAGTCCGCAACTTTATTAAATTGTTTAAGAATGATTAACCCTTAAATTTTTTTTTTGTCATTAATTTTTCTTGACATTATTCTTGTTTCAACATTCATGCATTAATTTTCTAAACATTTTAATCTAAAAAAATTGAAATTCCATAAACATAACATTTTCACTTAAAATTAAAATGAGAATGCCATTTGTAGAGTTTGAGAGTGGGATCTCATTTAGATAAATTAAAAATATTATTTGAACCATTTGATTTTAATTTCGACCATTGGATCTTCTTTTTCTCGTTAAAATCAAGTTGAAAAAAATCTGGGCCGTTTATATCTATTTGAGAAAGCTTGAAAAATCACAAAAAGTTGGTTCCCATTGCTTGACACGTGGCTAGCTTTTAAAGGCTCCAAAAGATTAGATAAAGAATTAAAACATACAAGAAGATGCATCATTGGTTTTCAAAGGGAGCTGTTGGATTCCAACGTCCCTTTGATGCGAGCCTTCCACGTGTCCAGCAAGTTGGCTTTGTCCTGCCATTCCTTCACATGCTGCGCAAGTTGGCTTCGACTTGGGGCCCACAAATTCCATCCGGATTGGAAGTTGGGCCAAATTCCACACAAGATTTCAGTATGACCCAAATTACCGTAGTGAGGGAATTCATATTTTCCGGTGTGCCAAAAATTAAAAAAACAGCCAAACTTTATATATTCTTGAAACTAAAGTTCTGAACATCACTCGTGGTTATGGTAGACATATTTGTATAAATCCCAATTGATGTATTTTGTACTCTTTCTTCTCTCTAACTAGTAAGCATTTGATTGGCGGCTAGTGCTTGAAAATTGTGGGATGCCATGACTGCGAAAATGAGGTTGTTCCAAACAGGATGATTCCAGAATGTAGGGGACCATGGGGACTTTCTATATAGGCATGCAATGTGCCTATATAGTGTATTGGTTCAATGAATATTTATCAAGTTCTGCACTTCTACATTGTATCAGAGTGCTATCTCTTCCAACAAAGTTTTTTTTTTCCTTCTCCCTTCGTTCTCATGGCCACTACCTCTCTCCCGGGTATCAATATTGTATCCAAAGCTTTGAACTTTGTCCCCTCGACAGGTGCAAAATGTTTGAACTAAGCCCGTGTTCTGCCTCTAACTTATTCTTGAACTATGACCTGTGAACTACTTTTTTTTTTTGGTAAGCTGGGTGGGGACAGGCCCCCAAAGCAGAAGCAATTACAAAATAGAAACTAGACGCATCTTACAGACACCTAACAAGTCATCAAGTACAGCTGGAGTGATCCAAGCAGGGGGCTCGTCCAGTTCGCAGTAGTCTAAGTCCAAGTTATAGCTCCAGTTTGCCAGTCCATCAGCGACAGAGGTTTGTTCCCTATAGATGTGGTTGAGTTCAATATTCCCAATCTGCCTCATGAGGCTAAGACAACCAGAAAGTAAACCGGCAAGGGGGTTATCCTGAGGGAAGTCAGATTTCTTCAATAGATTAACAGCAACAGAGGAGTCCATCTCAATGGTGAGATGAGAGAGTCTTTTCTGTAGAGCCAATTTAATGCCAAAGAAGAGCCCCCACAGTTCCGCTTCTAACACCTGGCCTGTACCTAAGTTTATTGCAAAGCCAGCAGTCCAATCTCCGTTTGAGTTTCTGATGACTCCCCCAGCACCAATAGTTCCTGAGGCAGTTCTCCTAGAACCATCAATGTTCAGTTTAAACCAACCATCTCTAGGAGGTACCCAAGACAGCATAAGATGCAATTTGGGAACCTTACTGGCGGTACAGGAGGCCTTGACCCACTCAGTAGCAGCAGTAATAATAGTTTCCTTTGGCAAAGAAGGCGCATCTTCGTTCGAGTTAAAAATGTGGATATTTCTCCATTTCCAGATAAACCAACAGGAGAAAACAAAAACAATATTCCAAGGCAAATTCCTATGCCAAAAGGCCCTGGAGCACAAATTATTTAAAATCCAAGTTTGAAGGTTCGTGGAGAAGAAAGAGATAGTCTGGTTAGGCTTCAAAAAGTAGCCCCAAACTTGTTTGGCCTTTGGACAGTCCCTGAGGATGTGGGTCACAGACTCCCTGGAGCACAAATTATTTAAAATCCAAGTTTGAAGGTTCGTGGAGAAGAAAGAGATAGTCTGGTTAGGCTTCAATAAGTAGCCCCAAACTTGTTTGGCCTTTGAACAGTCCCTGAGGATGTGGGTCACAGACTCAACCGTTTCACCACAAGCCAGGCAGGCAGGATCACTAGCAAGGTGACGTTTAACCCTCTGCTCATTAGTTAATATTTTTTCTTGGTAGGCCAGCCAAAAGAAATATTGCAGTTTAGGGGGGATTTTCATCTTCCACAGTACCTTCCACCAAGGATTACGCCAGTCAAGACCATTGAAGAGCAGATTGTAGGCAGAATTTACAGTGAAAGTCCCATCAGAAGTGCATCGCCATATCTGGCGGTCCTGAAGGGTCCCACTAAAGCTCACAGAGAGACTGATAATTTTATGGACAATAGCCTCGGGTAGCGCATTGCGAAGCTTGTCCACATCCCACCAACCATCTTTGAAGAAGCTTGAAACAGTAGAGTCAACATCAGTGGGCGGTAGGACCGTCTCGTGGTGCATTAGGGGTGCCTCTGAAACCCAATTATCTTTCCAGAATTTCACTGTTTCACCTCCTCCAAGTCTCCACGTCATACCTTTCCCCAACAAATCAGCCCCAAACAGAACACTTTTCCAGGTCGAAGAAACATCCTGTCTCATCTTCAAAGAAGGCTCAAGAATGGATTGGCCTTTGAGGTACTTCTTCTCGAAGATCTTGGTCCAGAGGCCCTCATCTTTACAATGCAGTCTCCAGCCAATTTTAGCGAGAAGGGCTTGGTTCATATCATGGGTTCTTTTGAAACCCAGGCCTCCTTTGCTCTTAGGCCTGCAAGCGAGGTTCCATTGACACAAGTGGATCTTCTGCTTTTTATCACCACCCCCCCAAAAGAAATTACGGTTTAGACGATCAAGCTCCTCACACACGCTAATAGGGAGCTTCACAGTTTGCATAGTATACACAGGGAGAGCAGAGGTGACAGCCTGAATTAAAGTAGCTCTTCCTGCCAGGGACAAAAGATTGCCTTTCCAACCGGCAAGTCTAGCATGCACCTTGCTAATCAAACTGGCATAAGTAGATTTTTTAATTTTGGAATGTAAAAGGGGCA